GAAAAGAACAATATGAGTTCCCTTGATATCTCGATTATGGGAGTATCACTTGTGCCCTTTCCCTTTTCCAGCATCAAAAAGCTCTGATCAATATCCAAACTGTCTGAATCCTATATGTTAATCAGGTTAAAACTGAAATAAAAATAATCTAAGATAAAAAGAAGCACATGTCAGAATCGGGTGCATTTTAAAAAAATATATGCTTTTGTTGAGTTTAGAGAGAGAGGAAGGGAGAAGAAGAGATAGAAACATATATGAGAAACACTGATCAGCTGCCTCATGTATGCCCTCTACTGGGGATGAAGCCTGAATTCCAGGCCTGTGTTCTGAATGGGAATCAATCCTGAGACCTATTGTTTCATGGATCAACACTCAACCACTGAGCCACACTAGCTTGGCAGGTGCACTTTTTATTTTTAAAATCTTTATTGTTGAGAGTATTACAAATGTCTCTCTTTGTTCCCCCCATTACCTCCCTCCACCTGGTTCCCACCCCACCCCAGGCCTTCACCACCTTATTGCCTGTATCCATAGGTATATAAGATCTTTGGTTAATCAGATAGGGATATAAGATCTTTGGTTAATCTCTTCCTGCCCCTCTCCCCTTTCCCTTTGAACAGATTCATCAGTCTGTTCCATGTTTCCATGCCTCTGATTTTATTTTATTTATCAGTTTATTTTGTTCATTAGATTTTGTTTGTTTATTTTTAGATTCAATTGTTGATAGATATGTATTTATTGCCATTTTATTCTTCATATTTATAGATCTTTTTTCTCTTCTTATTCTTCTTCCTTTTCTTAAAGAATACCTTTCAATATTTCATGTAATACTGGTTTGGTGGTGATGAACTCCTTTAGCTTTTTCTTGTTTGTGAAGCTCTTTATCTGACCTTCAATTCTAAATGATAGCTTTGCTGGGTAGAGCAATCTTGGTAGTAGGTCCTTGCTATTCATCACTTTGAGTATTTCTTGCTACTCCCTTCTGGCCTGCAAAGTTTCTATTAAGAAATGAGTTGACAGTTGTATGGGAGCTCCCTTGTAGATAACTAACTGCTTTCCTCTTGCTACTTTTAAAATTCTCTATCTTTAACCCATGGCATTTTAATTATGATGTGTCTTATTGTGGATCTCTTTGGGTTTCTCTTGTTTGGGACTCTGTGCTTCCTGGTCTTGGAAGTCTATTACTTTTACCAAGTAGGGCAAGTTTTCTGTCATTATTTCTTCAAATAGGTTTTCAATATTTTGCTCTCTCTATCTCTTCCTTCTGGAACCCCATAATGCAAATGTTGGTATGCCTGAAGTTGTCCCAGAGACTCCTTACACTATCTTCATATTTTTTAATTCTTTTTTCTTTTTACTATTCTGATTAGGTGTTTTTTCTTCCTCATATTCCACATATTGATTTGATTCTCAGAATCCTCTAACTCTACTGTAGAATCCCTGTACATGATTCTTTATTTCAGTTAGTGTATGCTTAATTTCTGACCAGTCCTTTTTCATATCTTTGACATTTTCTCTAAGATCCTTGAAAGTCTCACTAAGTCTCTTGACAC